TCACAACCTTGAGATCATGACCTGAGCCAAAATCAAGAGTCAGATACCTAACCAACTATTTATAAAAAAAAAAATAAACATTGAGTAAAAGGAGAGTAAAAGACTTTATATAGACTATAATAACTAATTTTCTTTAAAATTACACACACACACACACACACACACACACACACACACTTAAAAGGAATTGGAAGCCACAACATTGACTTATTAACAGATAACTGCCTATCAGTGCCAGGATTGGGAGTGTTTTCATTTTCTTCTGTATGCCTATCTCTATTTTAAAAATTTTCTATAATCATCTATAAGTTGCTTTAACAATTAAGAAAACTGATTATTTATTGGGCCAATTAGAAAGTTTTTGACAAATTTCAAAAATTAGAAACATATATGTTATATTCCATGATCTCAATGCCAAAAATTAGAACCACTTGCCAAAATTAGAACCAATTAGCCAAAAACTTCTAACCACTCTGACATTTAAATACATCTTTCTGAATAATACCTGGGATAGAAAAAAAATAAAAAGGAAAATAACAAGCTATTTACATATGACAGGGGTTCTATACGTAAAATCCTGGAATATGCAGCCAATGAGTATAATGTTACATGGATTCATCAGAAAATATGATTGAAGATAAATGAAAATTTAATGCAAAAAGGCAAAGTACACACAAAGAAATTATTATTAAGGATAAAGAGATACTGATAAAATGAAAGTGTATGTAGTAGAATATATTTAGAAAACAAAAACTGTATCTTTAAAACACTGAAAAAGTAGACATACATTTGTCATATAGCCATCAAGAGAAACAGAAAAAAAATAAACATTAGGAATGAGATGGGAACATAACTGGAGATTTAAAAAAATTTCAGGAAAATTTCCACAGAGCAATTATCAGTTTCAACCTTACCAGTAAGGCTGAAAAATCTGTATGGAATGGACTATTGCTTAAGAAACATTTTAATGCTCATTGATACAAAATAGGAAACATACTTGAATAGTTCACTAAACATAGTAAAAAATAAAAAGGTCATCAATAGCGAAGCCCATTCAGTTTTATGGATGTGTTCTGGCCAACATTTCAGGGCTGGCGTAGTCTCTTATTATGCTAACTGTTCCAGAAAATGTGAAAAATAGAAAGCTTCTCAATCCATACCATGACACTATATAAATCTGAAACTAAACAAAAAAAAAAAGAAAAGAAAAGAAAAGAGAACCCAAGGAAACTGGGAGCTATTGTCAACATGTATTGCTCTTTAAATAAAGAAACATTGTTTCAGATAAATTACTCTAGGGGCAACTGGGTGGCTCAGTCGGTTAAGCGTCCAACTTCAGCTCAGGTCATGATCTCATGGTTCGTGGGTTCAAGCCCTGCGTCAGGCTCTGTGCTGACTGCCAGCTCAGAGCCTGGAGCCTATTTCCGAGTCTGTGTCTCCCTCTCTCTCTGACCCTCCCCTCTTCATGCTGTCTCTCTCTCCTAGAAATAAATAAAAATATATATAAAAAAAAGAAATAAATAAAACATTAAAAAAATTTCAAATAAATTACTCTATCTCTGTATATCGTATGTTATATGAGGTATGTTACATGTGTGTTATGTGTATGTATGTTTCCAAATGATCAGATCTACTTTTGTTGGTTATTGCAATTCTCCAAAGCCTGGGCCAGCTGTGCTGATAAAATCACCACAAATGAAATCTGTGTGGATATAGATTTTATTGAATTTGGATTGGGACCTCCAGCCTAGCTAGAGACCTCAGAAATATCTGCCTGTAAGACACAAGAGGAGAAGACAGGGAAAGAACAAGTTAGATTTTTATCACTTCTAGGAAGATAACTCTATACGTGGTCGCTCAGTTAGGACCTAGATTCCTAGATTCTAAGCATAGCAAAAATAACATGTTCATTTAACTGTTGAAATTTATAGAAGGAGAAAAAATATTTTCTTAAGTTCATAGTGAGGAACACCTACATTAAGAAAAAAAGGAAGATCTCACATGAACAACCTAACTTTATACCTTAAGGAACTAGAGAAAGAATAAGCTAAGCCCAAAGTTAGTAAGATCAGAGCAGAAATAAATGAAATAGAGACTAAAAAGACAATAGAAAAGATCTTTATTATAGAACATTTAACATATACAAATAAAAGGAAGAAAATGAAAACTGCTTGGAATTCTACCACTGTTAACATTTTTTTTAATGCTTAGTTATTTTGACAGGGGATGGGCAGAGAGAGAGGGAGAGAGAGAATCCTACACAGGCTTCATGCTGTCAGTGCAGAGCCTGACTTGAGGCTTGATTTCACACACTGTAAGATCAAGACCTAAGCTGAAATCAAGAGTTGGATGCTTAACCAACTGAGCCACCCCAACACCCCTGTTAACATTTTGATGTGTTGTTCCAGTCTTCTCTGTAAGTTAGTGTATATGTATGTGTGTTTTACAATGTGATTAAACCATAAACATGTTTTGTAGTCTGCTCCTAAACATAAACATGTTTTGTAGTCTGCTCCCCCACTTCTGACCTGATGAACATCTTTCCATCTCATTAACTATTCATATTATGGTCACATTATTCTACGATCTTTCTCTCTCATCATATATGTAACTGCTATCATTGAAACTGTTGATTCACTTTTCCTACATAACAGATTATTATGAAAAAAATCTTAGATACAAAATGATTTTTTAAAATGTTTATTTATTTTTGAGAGAGAGAGAGAGAGCACGAGCATCCACGCTAGTGAGGGGAGGGACAGACACAGAGAGAGACACACACAGAATCCGAAGCAAAGTCTAGGCTCAGAGCTGTCAGCATGGAACCAGATGCGGGTCTTGAACATGTGAACTGTGAGATCATGAGCAGAAGTCAGCCGCTTAACTGACTGAGTCACCCAGGTGCCCCCCAAATGATTTGTGTATTATTTCAAGTAAAACAAAATAAAGTTCTGAGCAACATAAACATATTTTTTCATTCTTTTTTAAACAGGAGTTTAATTCATTTTAGGGACTTTTTAGGGAAAGGAGGAGACTTTATGGAAAATATTTTTCATAATATATATGAGGACTCTTTAGGGTATAAATGACAGATATCCCAATTAGAATTGAATGGAATGAAAAAAGAAACTTCCCAGTGAATGCATCCATTGTCTGTTGCTCTAGAAGTACTGCAGAACATCCAACTGCAAAACATCAGTGACATACTAAGAAGTATTTTTTTAGTCCATGAGTGTATGGGGCTCATTGGATGTCAGCTGGATTTGCTCATGCATCTGTGGTCAGCTGGTGGTTGGCTAGGCAGCTCTGCTGATCTTGGCTGGGCTTGCTCAAATGTCTTGAGTTGGTTGGCTATTGGCTAGGACACCTTGGTTCTATTTTTTTTCTCATTTTCCAGCAAGCTACATTGGGCATATTCTAATTAGTACTGCAGAGGAAAATGATCAAGAGAATAAATACACAAGTGCTCCTTCAGGCTTCCTTTGCATTTGCTACCACCTTATTGGCCAAAGCAAATCATATGACTGAACTCAGAGTCAGATGAGAGGGCACTGCCAAGGACACAGATGCAGGAAGGGGTAAAGAATTGGGGCCTTTAATGCGGCCACTCTACCTGGCATGTAACTAAAGTGGCCTGGGGCAGATATGCCTTCAGTGACTGCTGGATCCAGGGTATCAAGTAATGTCACTTGGTTTGATTTCAAACTATCTAACATTTGGCTCTGCTTTGCTTTGCATTAGCTTCACTCCCAGAGAAGCCATTTCCTCACGGTAGTACTAAGTGAGTATTTGCACCTCAAAGCAAGTAAATTCTAGCTGAAAAAGAGCTTATGTTTTCCAATTGTTTCAGCTTACTTGTGGTATAAATCTTTTTGGACCAATGTGGGTCACATGCTCATCCCTAATGTAAGGTCACTAAGCTAGGCAGTGTTAGAGTGGAAGTCTGAATCTTGGTTTACCCCTCTCCAAAATCTGTGGTCTTAGTGTCTAAAAAGCTGAAGAAAAATGAAGTATATTACACATACCCTAAGAAGAGCAGGAGGCCATCATGGACCCCATTAAGGCCACGTGGGTCCTAACACTAAGGGGATAATCACAATCCTGTAAGCCAGTTACATAAAATTGTGTACCAAAGTGCTTGAGTAACCATGACAGAGAATTTCTACTACTTTTCTCTGGGGGGTATGGAACCAGGATATCTAACATGGTGTACTGTTCTTTCACCATTTCTGGATAGGTGTGGGGTAGGGTGAAGTAAATATTTGGGTCAACCAAAATGTAAAAGCAGTCCCACAACACCAGCCTGAAAGATGTGTGTGAAAGGAGAAAAAGACAGGATTGCTATTTTCTCTGGTAATAGCATTTGGGATCTGGCTAGATATATAGGAGTCTTGATGGTTGAGTCATCTCTTTTTCTTCTAGCTCCAAAATAACCAGTAGGTTCAAACTCCTGAGTTGATGCCAGTTGATTGGTGGTAAACCATCTAGAATGTTATGTTGAGAAGAGTTCCAGTCTTAGTGGAAATGAGGACTGTGATGGATTAGTGATGTCAGGAATGGGTACAGAATGGGGAAGTAAGAACATGCTTGACTGTTATTTGATATCCTAGGAATCAAAAGCTTCTCAGAGTCACTGTCAAGCTTCTCAGAGTCACTTGTATATGGGGGGGGAGGGGTTTTACCCCTAGGATGGAGTATTTTATAGTTTTCTATGATGAGGAATTCTATGGTGAATTTTCTGGAGGTCCCAACTGTCACTTAGCACAAACCAAAATGCGAAGCTTCATTTTCCTAAGGAAAAACAAGTTTATTTTTTGCTCTGAGAACTTTTGACCTTACTTGGGAGCAGGGTGGAAGAAATATACAAAATGTTTGCATGTAGTAAGTAAAGTGTGGGGTAATTTAAAAAAATGAATATGAGTGTGACTATCTGTTGTTCATGTATCTATCATTATCACCATTTTATCTATCAATGTATTTTTAAAAATATGATAGTTTGTTTTTGATTATCTTTTTTCTCATTTTTCAGATCTCTGTTTGGAGTCCTTTTCTGGTACAGATGGTGAAAAATATGCAGTGAAAATTCTGGCCAATAGTGGAAATACTGGCTTACCTCCCAACTTAGTATAGCATTCCTTCTCTTCAGTAGCACCTCATAATAGAAAAAAAATGTATGGAAGTGCAAGAACAATCACCAATCTGGAAGGTAGCCCTTCCAGATCTCCTCGTTTGCCAAGGTCTCCTCGTTTGGGCCACAGAAGAACAAGCAGTGGGGGAGGTGGAGGAACAGGCAAGACACTGTCCATGGAGAATATCCAGTCCCTTAATGCAGCCTATGCTACATCTGGACCTATGTATCTGAGTGATCATGAGGGGGTGGCTTCAACAACTTACCCAAAGGGCACCATGACTCTGGGAAGGGCCACAAATCGAGCTGTATATGGAGGCCGAGTCACAGCCATGGGGAGTAGTCCCAATATTGCTTCTGCTGGACTTTCCCACACAGATGTTCTTTCATACACGGATCAACATGGAGGTCTGACTAGCTCATCTCATCATCACCACCACCAGGTTCCCTCCATGTTGAGGCAGGTAAGGGATAGCACAATGTTAGACCTTCAAGCCCAGCTCAAGGAACTTCAGAGAGAGAATGACCTCCTCCGGAAAGAGCTAGACATCAAGGACAGCAAGTTGGGATCTTCCATGAACAGTATCAAGACCTTCTGGAGTCCCGAGCTCAAGAAGGAGAGAGTCTTGAGGAAGGAAGAGGCAGCCCGAATGTCTGTCCTCAAGGAGCAGATGAGGGTTTCCCATGAAGAAAATCAGGTAGGTTATGACTCCTCTCAGGGTTTTTCAGTCTTGGCCTCTCACTGAGTTAACTGATGCTTTGCAGATGGCACCACGACCTGTGCAGAAGGAAGTTTGGCATCATCAAGAAAGATACGACTTAGTGTGTGTTTGACTTGGAGACCACAAAAGAGCATAAGAAATATGAAATTATAGCTTGTGATCTTATTTTCCAATAACTTTTTCACCCTGTTGCTAAAGGGGAGGAATCATTCTTCATTGCCTAACTTTTGTACTTGGTTAATTTTTTTTTCTTTTTCAGCAGTAACAACAGCAGCTCAGATGTACTTCTCTCTGCATAGAAGAGGAAAATGTCAATTTTTGCAAGAGTAGACACTTTAACAGCAACATTTAGAGAGCCGCATTTGATTGGTGAATTGATTTATTTTTGAAGCCACAGCAGCTTTATTTCTTTCTAGAATGAGTGGAATTTATTCTCTAAATAACAAACCAGACATTACATAGCACTGGGTGCAATGGGGTTGGTATCATGTTGGAGAAACACAGTAAGTTTTAACTTGGTCTTTCTTTTATCCATTCATACTAAATAAGCATGTACTGTGTGCAAGTCACTGTCTTACTCTTCTGTGATCTATCTTCCATGCCATAGCAAGATTAGTTTTCCCAGTGTCTACTTGCATTATATGCCATTTCTCTGTTTTAAAGCTCTCAATAATTACGTATTGCCTTCAGAGTGAAGTCTGCCTCTTTGGCTGAGCCGACAGCACTATCAGCTGGAAGGCCCGAGCAAGCCTTTCCAGCCTTATCTCATATGTCCTTTCTGCACATTTCCTATGCTACCTGCACTGTACTTGTTAATTCCTGCACATACTCAGGATTTTCCACCTTTGTTTCTTTGCTCTTTCTGTTCCCTTTCACTAATGGCCTTCTTAGCACCTCCTCTCCCTTCCCCTTCCCTTTCAGGGCCAGCCAATCTCCATTTCCAAATCCTACCTATTCTGTGATGCTCATTTATCTGCTGCCATTTTCATAAGGGCTTTGGAGTCTGACATGCCTGGGGTTAAATCCCAGCCTTACCTCTTACTAGTAGTGAGGTAAGTGCTATGAGATGGGGAATCGAGAGCACTGTGCCATTTGGATGAAAAATTCCCAGATATCATTTAACTTTCTGTAGAAATTTGAGATAATTCTAACTTGGCTGAACTAGTGATTCTTCAATAATTGGTTTGGATGTTGGCCTAACAAAGCTCTCTGCCTTTCTTGGGGTTATCTGCTGGCCCTCCTGTTTCCCTGGATACCACTCTTTGGAGTCCAAGTATCTTTAGAAGCATTGCTGATCTGTATGAGAATCTGCTCTTTGTCCTACTTCTATGTGTAGAAAGCAATCACCTTATCCTTTTGACTATGTGACAGAGCCTTTGTTGGTTTTCAGGTGTGGAAACGTGGTTTTTAGTTAGAACAGAAAGTTTTGTTCTTCAATCTTAAATCAAATTGATGCTCTTCACTATCATTTCTGCTTTTCCCCCCGACTTTGCTTGTTCATCGTGTCCTTGTGAACCTCTTACTGCTATATGGATTTCCCTAGTTCTGTACTGGTTTTCTTTTTTAGTTGCTTTGGAAAATGGTTACAGCAGTTTAGGAATGATGTAAGTAGTGACAAAAAGTGTGAAAGCCATTCTTTAAACTGTCAGCTCCAAAGTTACTTTTACCCTATGCTCCTACCATTAAATTTTTTTGAGCACAGACCCCAACTTATAAGTGTATATTTATTTATAAATTACATGATGTGCTATTATGCCAATATATTATGTGTCTATTCTGACATTCACACAGATGTAAATATGGAAGTGATAACACAAAACAAATAATATATTGAGGTACATTTTAATGACACACAAAACCTTTTTGCTATTGTAAAAACATTTTAATCCCCTTGTCTATTTCATAAGGGTTAGTTTAGTTTAAAGTAGAAATTATCCATAGTTCTACTTAACTGTCCCCTGTTGCTTTAAGCCAGAAACAGTTGAGTACTTGAGGGTGCTCCCAGTACCCCTTCCTAGTTCTGGAAACTACTATGATCACAGGCTATGTTGGGTACTATGGGTGCCATATGACCATGTGACATATGATCCAGTAAGAACCTCAGTATTAATCTGTGTATTAAATATAAGTAAAATCTAATTATTTTCTTTTTTAGGTTAAAAATATAAAAGGAGGAAGAAGCACGGAGAATTTGAAAAGTCAATTTGCTTGCAATATGAGGTAGTATTACAAAGTAGAGAATGTAAATATTTACAAAAAGCAAGTTATTTTTTTTAACAACCTCTTTTTCTCCTCTGGGAATTCTGTCAGGGTCCCTTTTAGAGGTATATGAGTTCTGTTGGTCAGGATGGGGTAGATCTTGCTGCAGTAATCAACATACCGCAAATCTGAGTGGCTTAACACATCAAGATTCCTTTCCTATTCACCTGAAGTATGAAGTAGGTCAAGTGACTCTCCAGGGCAGCCCTCCTCCAGGCAGTGACTCAGGATCCAGGCTTTCTGCATCTTGGCACATGGCTTCAAGAGTTGCTACACCAGAGGAAGGGAGTGCCTGGAGATGGCACATTGGCTTCACAACTCCTTGGACTGGAAGTGACACGACTGCAAGGAGTTGGGAGGTATAGTCTTTGCCTCTTTCCAGGAAGGAGAGTCAGATATGAAGGAACACTGGAAATTTCTACCAGTGGAGTTTTTATGTTTGTCAAAAGATGGAGCTAGATGGAATAAAGTTTGGGGAACAATCCAGATTCCTGCTATTGCTGCTGTTTCTGTTATTACTGCTACTGCTACCAATAGACATCTATTGGAGGCTTACTATGTGCCAGGCATTGTTCTTAGAGCTTTGTGTACATTATCTTATTTAGTGTTTACATCAGTCACCTGAGGTAGGTGTTAGACTTTTTCTCATTTTACAGATGAAAAATAAATGTTGGGAGAATAAGCAGCTTGCCACGGTAGTAAATGAGAGAGCTGGGCTTTAAGGCTTGGTATAGTTTATGCCAATGTCTAAGACTTTAGGTTCATTGACTCCTTGGAGAATCACTGAGCTATAATTATAATCTTATGTGTTATATGTGTTAGATGTGTTAGATGAAAAAAATGACTAGTTCTGATAAAATGATTAAGAATGCGATTTAGTTTAATTGGGATTTTTATTCTTAATTAGGAATTTATTTCTTTTTCCCAGAAGTGTTTTTTTTTTGTGCTGTTTAGAGTTTCTGCCATTTACCATAACTGACTATAATTTCCCTTCAGAGAAAAAAATCATGGAAACTTTTTCTGTATGGAAGAAAAGAAAGTAAAGAAGATAAGGGACATTTGATTGTGGTTTTGTATGCACAACAACCAGAGACTGCATCTACAAATGTAGTTCTACTGAAGGGTATCCAGATAATTAGAAATTCACTAACCTAAATTCAGGTGATCTAAAACCATTTGAACTATACTATGTGAATACAAATGGGAAGCAGATCCATCATAGGGTGGAGGTGAGGCAGCTCAAAGTGCTCTCATATATGAAATTCATGGTTCTGTGAATTTAATGCTTACTAATGCAAACCTTTCACCCTTATGTGCAGTGTTGAAGAGGGTTCCCACTCATGAATTGTTTTGTGGTATATTTTGAAGATCTAGTGGTTCTGTCCAAGGGAGCTGAACCCAACTGCAGATCAAAGGGAGGATGTTGAGCATCCTCTCTGTGTTATAGGAAGCACATGACTGTTGGAACCTTGGAGACAATGGGTAGGTGACTGTGACCAAAATTTCTTATGTGCAAAGAGTAGATACTCAGGTTCCTGGATGGATATTTCATCTCAGACTACCTCCCCACTCCTATTGCCCAGGTTTTCTCCCAGGCCCTACTTCTCAGCCACACAGAGCTGCATGAATAGAAGTATATTCTATTTCTAAGAGTTACAGTATTGGCAGTTGGCATCATTGGTATGTTTGAATAAACTGGAGTACATGGGTGCCTAGTTACTCTTATGTTATCATTTGTACATTTTATTTTTACTTCATCATGTACTGTCTTGAATGGAAGGAGAGGGTAGTAGAGTATTACAGACAGTTAATCTTTGGAATGATGTGAACTCAATGTCAAACCTGTAGAATGATTTGGGGAGAGGTGAGAGGAAAAGATATGGAGTGGATGTTTGTCTGCTACTTGAGGCAGCCTCCTTGTTATTTGTAATTCCTAAGGGGTTGGGGGTGGATTTTGGGGGCAGGAGAATGCAACTATTGGAAAGTAAAGTGACCTAATTTTCTCTAAAAGATTATATGATTGTCTTTTCTTTATAGCTCCTATCTATTTACCTGTGTGATAGAGATCACAAAGGGAAAACATGGTAAAGGAGAAATTTTCAGAAATTTCATAAGGACTTATGTCTTATAATTTGATGCATATAAGTTATTGACTTTTCATATTCCTGGATTTTTTGCAATAATTAATTTTATATTTTTAATAGATTACTTTTTTCCAAATTATATGTATATTAAACAATTTTGAGCATTTTCCTAATTTGCACAAGGCTGGCCAAGGATCTGCATGAATATAAATAGCATCACACGCTGGGAGATTGTACTAGATCTAATATTTACCCATCTTGTGAGTGCAGAAGTGGGACAAGGTCATTGGGAAATGTAACCTAAGAAGTGTAAGTAAACCTGCCTGGGGAGTTTTACAGCTTTTAAGCAATGGTTATGTGATAATTTCTATTTCTGGCTTAACACAATAGGAAATAATCTTCTCTAAATCAATATTATTATGGGTTTTTGATGAGTTTTTGAGTTAGTTTCAATGTATCGTTTATTGGTTCTCATTTTAAGCCTGTAACTTGAAAAGGTCGAGATGGATCACATTTCTGTGTTTCTTTTATCATTTTGTTTTGTTTGTATAACTGTGGGGCCATTTGTATGGGATCATTAAACTGTTTTAAAATGCTCATTTCACTGGGCATGTACAGATATGAAGAGTAGGT